CGAGTGTGGTCTATTTACTCGGGTCTTTTTCACAGGAATCGAGAAAAAGAGAGAAGGAAGTTCTAGAGACGAAGGATCTTCAAGCGGATATTCTCCCGTGAGAATATTTGCACAAACATTTGGTGTTTTCATTTAGAGCACGAGTTATACTAAACTCATGCTCTTGAATCAAAAGAAATCGTTTCCTCCATTTTTTCTCTCAACCAAAGCCTTTCGAACAACCATGGCCGGAAGCAAGCACACGAAGAGCAAGATCGATGCGATGGCCTAATCCGCGAAGGGCTCGGGCCACCACGATATCGCAGCTCTGAGACAGTCTCATGATATGGCCAAAGCCGTGGCTCGCCCTCATAATGAGGGTCGTGAAGAAAGGTGCTCCATAACCCATTCAAGAAGAACCAATTCCCGTTGACAAGCGATAGGGAATCCCTCGCAAGTGCAGTCCACCAATACACCACACAGGCAGGACAACCGAGAAGGTCGGCCCTTGCGAGCCAACGAGGAAGTCAATCAGTGCCACCCAAATCATGAAGGTCACCAGCGTGACCCGCAGGCCATGCACGCAGAAGATGTCGAGAAGCTTGTGAATAACCTGCTTCGATACCTGAAGATCAAAGGAGATTTCGAAGATGCTCTGCTCATAGAGGTTGACCAAGCAAACTCCTCACCATACACAGCCGAAATCAAGCAGGTTGCTCCCCCAAAGCGATTCTCAACGCTTTCTTTCATAAACTTCAAAGGGGATTCCGATCCTGAGAGCCATCTGAAGCAATTCAAAAGTGTTATGATTCTCTACATGAGGGGCAGCCCAGGATTAGTTCCACACCCTGCCATCCAGGTCAATTAGGAGCTTCAAGGAGCTAGCTTTTGTCTTCCCAAAGAATACACTTCTTACCAAACGATCAAGAAGAACCTTGACCACCTGTTTAATTTGCGTAAGAAGTCTGATGAACCCCTCCAAGATTACATCAAGATATTCAAAGCAGAAAAGGCAAACATTGTAGGGTGCGATGACAGAATCATGTCCTTTTCCTTCAAGAAAGGCTTGCCAGCTGAGCACGACTAATACCGAGATTGAATCGCCTTGAAAAAGTCTACCAATTAGTCAGATCAACCGACCAAACAGGCAGGTCAGAGGAGTGATAGGTTCTACAGCAGAATAATGGCATGTGCAAGTGGCACCCCCGAGGAGATGATCTGGCAGAAGAGAACTACACCAAATTCTCCATCCCATACATTAGATCTTAGCCCAACTGAAGATAAGCCTTGAGTAAGGAGACCACCACCCTTGAAGGGAGGCCCGGATAGGATGCTAGAAGATATTGTGCCTTCTATGGGGACAGAATAAAATCCCTAATGGACTCAATCTCTACAATTTGGGGACATAATAAATCCCTTCTAAATAGGAATTATTCTTTCAAAAACTAGATGTCTAGAGCCCTACAAATACATGGCTTCATTCAACACACAAGGTAATCTAAAACTCAATCAAAACCTAGCTATAAAACACCCAAAATTCTCCACACACTCTCTCTCTCTCCTAGCCGATGATACTACCAATGCCACTAGCCACGCCTCCCTCATCTTTCCATATTTTCATACACGGCTTAGGCCACCACACACGGCTATGGCCACCCGCTTCTCACCCTAGAGAAAACTCCGTACCCATTTTTAGCTATTGTTTCACCTAGATTCAATCTAACTAACTTAGGCATCAGAGGCCCTTTGGCCAACACCCCTGGGTGTGGTCTATTTACTCCGATCTTTTTAACAGGAATCGAGGAAGAGAGAGAAGGAAGTTCTAGAGACGAAGGATCTTCAAGCGGATATTCTCCAGTAAAAATATTTTCACAAACAGAGGAGCCCATGATTAGTATTAGGGAGTACATGATTAAGTGAAAATCAATCTCTACCCGATACCCCTACCCATGCTTTGGCTGCTTTACCGATGTTGAACCCACATGTTTCACACAAGCTGCTCGATCTTCTGAATGGACACAAGCCATGCACGATGAATTCAACGCCCTTCTCAAATAGGGCACCTGGTCCTTGGTTCCTACTTCTTCCACACACAACACTGTTGGGTGAAAATGGGTATTCAAGGTGAAACGACAATCTGATGGTACCGTTGAGTGCTACAAAACTCGACTTGTGGCTAAAGGTTTTCATCAACAGTATAGGGTGGACTATTTTGATACGTTTAGCTTGGTTGTTAAACCCACAACAATTCGGACTGTGCTCAGTATTGCAGTCAGTTCTGGGTGGCCTATTCGACAACTGGACGTCAAGAACACCTTCCTCCTTGGCCCTCTATCCAAAGAGGTCTACATGCAGCAACCCTGTGGGTTTATGGATCCCAGCCGGCCTCAACATGTCTGCAAACTTCACAAGGCTATCTACGGCCTTAAACAAGCACCACGCACTTTGTTCCAATGTTTTAGTTCGTTCTTGCTCCGTGTTGTTTTACTCAAAGTCAATATGATGATTCTATGTTTGTTTATCAGGATCAGTCTCATAATATGATTTTACTTGTCTACCTTGATGACAACATACTCACTGGGATTAGTTAGTCACATTTACATGCCTTTATTGATATGTTTGGCACCGAATTTGATGTCAAAGACCTTGGCAGGTTACATTATTTCCTTGGCATCGCAGTCACCTATCACTTTGATTCTATTCATCTCAATTAGACCAAATATACCCTTGATATTCTCGAAAGAAGCAATATGCAGGATTGTAAACTGATCTCTACACCAATGGCTTCGAAAGGCAACATTTCTTGCACTCATGGCACGGCTTTGCCCGAACCCACTGTGTATAGACAACTTGTCGGTGCTCTACAGTACCTAACCATGACTCGTCTTGATATTTCCTACGTCGTACAACATGTTTTCCAGTTCTTTGGTTCCACCACTGATGTTCACCATGAAGTAATGAAACGCATTCTGCGTTATCTCAAAAGCACCCTTGATATTGGCCTTCCTATTCGTCGTTCTACGGACTCCTCATTCCTTGTTGCCTATTCAGATGCCGACTGGGCAGGTTGCCCGGATACTCGCCGGTCCACCACCGGATACTGTGTCTTTTTAGGACCAAATCTAATTTCATGGAGTGCAAAGAAACAACGCACAATTTCTCATTCAAGCGTCAAAGCTGAGTATCACGCCCTACCTTATGCTTGTGCAAACACTATATGGATTCAAGGTCTATTTCATGAAGTTCGGCATCCTATTCCACATCTTGTTATTCTTAATTGTGATAATCTCTCAGCCACATATCTTGTGGCCAATCCAGTGTTTCATGCCCAAACCAAACACATAGCTATCGATTATCACTTTGTTGGGGAATGTAAGTCAACGGGTTCGTTTCATACCTTATACTCATCAACTTGCATATGTTTTCACCAAAGGATTGTCTACAAACGTTTTGCCCAACTTATTTCCAAACTTGTCTCCTCACCAATGTCAAGTTTGCATGGAAGTATTAGGGAGTTACAATAGTATTTCAGTTACAATAGTTAATCATACTAATGATAGAAAATGGTCAATTGTCAATTACGTTGTTATTAGGCCATAACTCCATTTTTATGTTTATGATAATGGCTTGTTGTAACTGTAAGTTGTTCTCTACAGACTTGTATATATATCTTGTATAATGATCTTGTGAATGATTAAGTGAAAATCAGTTTCTACAATTAGCAATCTCTTAGCCTCCACCCACATCACACTCAAGGGATATTGTGGGAATTCCTTCAGTCTTCATCAATGTCTTTGCCATTGTAGAAGAAATCCTCATCCTTCACCATCTTCGAACATTTCCTAGAAATCGGTGTAGATCTCTTACCTATCATCGTAGATTTGCACCCAATGTCAAAGATCTCCTCCCGCTTATTGATGTGGAGGAAACCAACTGCAACCCAACTGCAAATGATGGACAAAATTGCTTTGTCATGCCTCATATCAGGTCGGCATGTGACCAATGATTCTTCGCACTAACATGGTCAAAACTGAACCCTCCCACGTTATTATGCCCATCTACAATTGCGCTTTTATAAATAGGCATAAACCCAATCAGCCATGGTTTGATGAAATTGAAGTTATTGATATTTGGGTTGTAATTATATTAGTTATTAAACTTTGAAAATTTGATGGCATGTTTATTTTTTTTTAAATACAAGTTGTTGTCTAAATTACTCTAATTAATTTAAACTATAATGGCATATTAGATTTTAATGTGTTAAATGAAAATTGTATATAGACATTTTGGTTGTAATTGGGCTAACAAAGTTGAAAAATGTAAAAGAAAAACAGATTGGCTTGGACCTAAATTGCCCTAAATAATTTTTGTTAAAACCGAATCAAACCAAACCAACTTATTGCATTTGATCCGACTGCATTTTTGGATGTGAACCGTGTAATACTGATTGAATCCGTAGTTTTGAACTAACCCTACCATATTATGTTCTATTTGTGCAAACTTTAAGACTTCTCCTTATTCCATATTTTTGTTTTCATTATCACAATTGTGGATACAATTTTAATTCACTTTTGATTTTGATGATGATGAGATCTCATAGGAATAAACCGAGTTTGGGTATGTAATTCCTCGATTTTGGGATTTTCTGTTGATCTCCTTTTAAATGTCAAATAGATTGATGTCATAGGAATAAACCGCAAAACAAAAGCAAGAAAACAAGAACCTGCCAATAAGACAAAAAAAGAAAAGAAAGTAAAAAGGTAAGTAGGACTGATTATTGTCTTCTTTTTTATATCTTCTGACAGAAATGTGTTCTAATGATTTTCTTACATCAATTTAGCATTATTTATTTAAATTTTTTTTTTTTTTTACATCAAAGCATTTGACGTCCGACCAAAAAGAAAAGAAAAGGGAAATTTAGCTTTGGACACATTGGTGTATACTATGTAATAATTATTTTTAAAAAAACCCTAAGACACCAACCGAAAATTAATCCAATAATAGTTTGACATGATGTTATAATAAGGTTGCTCAAACACCAACCGAAAAAGACAGAAGGAAGAGTCGGAACCTCAATAACCCGCACTTTGTCAAATCGACAAAATCCTTACTTTATTATTTCTCTGATCCGAATACCCGTCTTCCAATCTCTCTCCTTCTCCACCTGCGCGCAGGTCAAGGTAAGGTCCTCTCTCTCTCTCTTTCGCTCTGTATATCTGTATGTATCTGATCTCCAAAAGCCATATTGTTTGAGCTTTATACCTTAATAACGGAGACGACTTCTACATTTTTTACTTTAATCTTTCATTTTGCTTTTGGTTTTTTTCTGGGTTCTGGATTGGCTTCTAAAGGTATGAACTTGTAGTTGGTTTCTCAGTTCTTTGTACATTGAATATCTAAATTCTTATGTTCTGGTTTTACTGATTAGAGTATGTTAACTGTTCTTATAATATGAATTTGGAAAAGTTTGAAAAAATTTGAAGCTTTGAGTGTCTGATCTATATGCTTATGATGGTATCCAATTCACATTGGCATGCAAGAGTTAAATTTTGGGGAATTCTATTGACAGCCCCTCAAATGAGCAGGTGTAGAGAGCATTTGAGAGGGTGTCAACTGAGTTCCCCTTGAATTTTTGTTTGTATGTCTTGAATTGTGGATGCTGATTTTCCCACCCTCCTTTTCTTAAGGATGTTGTCGGTTAAAGATACTCCGGAGTCCGAATTAGCGGAAAGCAGAGGAATTTGAAATTGATTATATGAGTTTACTGGTTCACTTTGAGTATTCTTAATGGCATTTGTCATCATACTTTTTTAAAATTTGATCCAAAGTGGTCCCCATCTCCATTCTTTAGTAATCTTAAGATTGATATGTTGTCCTCAATTTGATATAAACTGCTCATTAGTGCTCAGAATTTGTGGGTATATCCTGGAAGTTCTCTTGAAATTCTATGATAACAACTGTTAAATACTGATTGCTACTCTGTCACGTAAACAACCTATGAATTATTAATTGAAATGGGTTTGGTAGAGTATGGGTTATTTCAATACATAAATATGTTTGGTTCAAATTCAGTGAAAAGTTCTTGCATAATTTTATGTTGAAGTTTTATTTACTGGTGATCTCTTGTGAACCAGTAGCCTTAATTTGGTCATCATATCAATTCTTTTGGGCTAATTTATGTGGAGTTGCTTAATGTAGGTATCTCCAGAAACTTTTTTCAGAAGTTGTACAAGATAAAAGAAGGGTTTAATGCTGCTGCTAAATTATGTTCTGAACAGCTGAATTTGAAAATTCTCATTCTATGCTGTGATGGAATAGGAAAATTACTGTGTTATTCATTTGGGAAAGCTGAGATTTTTATTCATTTGTAATAAACAATGATTGGGAGGAAGAACATGGGACGAGCTTCACCCTTACTTCTGGTTCTTTTGGCTCTTGGGTTTTTCTTTGCCACTTATAATTTTTTAACTATGATAATCCACTATAGATCTGTTGGGAAGTGGGTAGGTGATAATTCGAATGGTGGGTTACTGTCTGACCCCATTATTGGGATGCCTGAGGATGTGAAGAAATTCAAGAATTCCAAGTCACCATTCCATGTTGCCTTAACAGCCACCGATGCTCCTTACAGCAAATGGCAGTGTCGCATTATGTACTATTGGTATAAGAAGAATAAGGACTTGCCTGGATCGGAGATGGGAGGTTTTACCCGAATTTTGCATTCAGGAAATCCTGACAACTTGATGGATGAGATCCCAACTATGGTCGTTGATCCTCTTCCTGCAGGTCTTGATCGGGTTAGGCTTCTTGCACTATAACCTTTTGGTGACTATATTCCATGCCATTGTATGTTTCATTCATTTGTTCTTTCTTTTCAACCTTTTAGTTTTGAATTCTTACTTCTTCCCTCAGGGAGTAACTTCATTATATCAGTTGGATGTGATTATGTCTGTTTGCACCGTTCTATGTCTAATCTAAAGTCAAAATAAGGGGGCTTGGCAATATTAGATAGGTTTTAGAATTTGCTGAAAATAAAGGAGAGTAAAGGAAAAGAGCCATAAAGAAAAAGCTAAGATTATGCCTTTTTTTATTCTTTTTTGGAGCTGAAGCTAAGACTGATGTTGAGTACTGGAAAAGCAATGAATCATTAGAAGAATAGCATGTATTTTGATTTTCACGGTTCAAGCTGATCCAGGTTATTGATATTTCAACGATTTGCTACTCACAGGATGACATGTGAAACTTATTAATTTAGGTTCTGCATCTAACTATCATATTCATTACGCAAAGTTACTAATATTTAGGTTACTGTTATGAAATACTTGCAGAAATGCAGCCATTTTAACTTTTTGGATCTTTTCTTAATGATGACGTATATGGTATTTCTTATGAATAAATGGGTTTAACTGTAACTTGATTGATGTGTAAATCTTAGACCTTGCAACTCTATCGTTGAAGATTATTGCTAATCCTGTGTAAACCGTTTTAATTGAAGCCTTTTTCATAGTCAGAGTATATATCTCTACCTATCTCTATCACAATCTGTCTGTATGATGTTGTTGATTGGGTTCTGTTTCCTTATCTATCAATCAAATATGTTTAAGAGTAGCACCCCCCTTGGGTGATTTTTCACTAACTTTTATATGATTATCAAATAAGTTTAATAAATTTTATACAATTATAAAAGAAGTTTAAGTAGTTATTATCATTCTAATAATTTATACTATGTACATTTTATTGATATATATATTTCCTGACATAATTGCAAATTTTTATACAGGGATATATTGTCTTAAACAGACCATGGGCTTTTGTTCAATGGCTGGAAAAAGCTACAATTGAGGAAGAGTGAGCTTCTGCATATTTGATGATCTTAAGTTTTCTTATGTTTAACCTTATACTTGAGTATTAAATCCATCTACTTTTGTTGTTGCAGATATATTTTGATGGCAGAGCCTGATCACATTTTTATAAATCCTCTTCCTAATTTGGCTCATGGAGGATATCCAGCTGGCTTCCCATTTTTCTACATTAAACCTTCGCAGAATGAGAAGATCATAAGAAAGTTTTATCCTGAGGAGAATGGCCCAGTCACAAATGTTGATCCAATTGGCAATTCTCCTGTAATTATCAGAAAGGTAGTATCTTTTGGTAAACTGTACTTTGTTTGGCCTTATTTAGTATTTGTGATGGCCCTTATTATGTTTGAGACATTTAAAAATTTTGATGTGCCAATTTATTTTGAGTTTCTGAGAACTGTAATGGTGTTTCTAGTTTTCTGTAATTTTGTCCTCTTAAAATTACTCATTGTCATCATATATAACTCCTGGAACTACTATTGCTGATCTATATCAAACTATCTTCTTTTGTTGGGTAAAGTGAACCATGTGATGACCGAATAAATGTAATCATTCAGGATTGCTGGAACCACTATTGCTGATTTTTATTGATTTAGTTTTGTAGGGCAAAATTGAGCCATGTGGTGAATGAATAAATGTAACCATTCAGGATTTGATAAAAATAATATTTCTGATTTATATCGATTGATCTTGTTTTGTTGGGAAAATTTGAGCAATGTGATGAATGAATCAAGACAATTATTCAGGATTTACTGGAAAAGATTGCTCCGACATGGATGAATGTTTCTTTGAGAATGAAAGAAGACACAGAGACGGATAAAGCTTTCGGATGGGTGCTAGAAATGTAAGTTTGACTGACTTTAGTTTTAACTAAATTGAGTTCTAGCAATCAGAGGTACCACCTTTGACGTGTCTCTCTGCTTCTGATTTCTTTGATGAACTAAGGTATGCATATGCTGTAGCATCTGCTTTGCATGGAGTGCAGCATGTTCTTCGGAAGGACTTCATGCTGCAGGTTTGGAGTCATACTTAGGGAAGCTCTTCATATCAAAGTTGATTTGCATTTTTATTTTATGTATACATTGTGGTTAATAATGTCCTTCTGTCTTTAAATTTTCAGCCCCCATGGGATTTGGAAATTGGTAAAAAGTTTATTATTCATTATACTTACGGGTGTGACTACAACTTAAAGGTATGCGTGGCCCTTCCCCTATTTGTCGATTCCTGTTATGAATTTGTGCTTATAAGTATAATGTTAAAGTTTGGACGTGCTTTCGGGTTAGCCATTACTGAGAGTCACCTTCTTCTTCCTCTTTGTTTCTTGTTTTGCACTAAACAGATGGAATATAGATAATATATATCCCATTGTCAGTTATCTGAAGTTTCCAACTTTTTAGGGTGAGCTAACATACGGCAAAATCGGGGAGTGGAGATTTGACAAGAGATCATATCTACGTGGACCTCCACCGAGAAACCTTCCCTTACCCCCTCCCGGGGTTCCTGAGAGTGTGGTATGTCTAAGGAATGTTATTGTTACAAATTATAATTTGCATCTTCTATTTTAGATGATTTGGTGTACCTTGTATTTTTATTTATTTGTGTGCCCTAGTTCTCTTCATTTATACAAGAAAGTTGGTAGCATTATGTTTCTTTGAATGTTGCACGCAGAGAAGTTATTTCCCCTTAAGACAAAGGGCTGCCTTGTCTTTACTTCTTTGTTTTAAATATTTGTCATCTGTGTATGGCATCATGGAAGTAGTCTGAAAGGCAGAAATCCAAACCATACATTCTTAAATGAAGAATGAAGAGTAATCTGCCTCAGAAATCCCCTGCTCCGATGAAAATAAAATTAGTAAACAAGCAGAAAACCCCCCGTATGCCTAGTGCTCATAAACCTTATAAGATTGGGTACTTTCTTAACCATGAGAAGCTGTAATTTACTCAGCCCATGTAGGGAGTGGAAAGCCAACAGTTGTAGTTGATGGGTAAAGGGAAAGTCACAGTAAGGTGAACTGGAGACGAGGAAGGGGGAGGGCCAGGGTTTGTGACAGACTCATGCTGAGGTGATATGTTCACATCATGGCTTGTGTTGGTGCTGGGAATAGCTTTAAGATTTTTTCTGCAACCAGTTAACTTTCTGGACAGACTGACTGACTGACTGACTTACAAATTTGGATTCCTTTTGTGGGAGAAATGTTTAGAAATGTGGAGGTGTACTGTACTAGTGAACTGTAAACCGTTGGCAACCATTTTTTAACTGATTTTTGGATTGAAGTTTTCATAGTATATGACATGTTTTATGAGGATTTTTTGTTTTTATATTTTAAATCTCTCTCTCTCTCTCTCTCTCTCTCTCTCTCTCTCTCTCATGCTCATTTTGTTTGCAGGTCACCCTTGTAAAGATGGTGAATGAAGCTACTGCTAACATACCTAATTGGGACACACAATAGATATCAGCTGCATTCCATTCAAGATAGATTATGATACACCGATGTTTAGAGAAGGAAAATTCTGATTCATGTGTAGCCTCTTAGAAATAGGAATATACACAAATCCCGGATCGTAAATTGAAAATAAGAATGTTCTGATGCCTCAAATGTATATCTGGGTTACACTTGGATTTAGGGGAACCTCAGGGTGTTTGAAGGGTAAAGGTTAAGCTGCCGAGCAGCATTGTTTAGGATTTTGTGCTTGCTGCAATGTGGATTATTTCGAGTTGATTATATGCAATCATTCATTGTAATCCCTGAGCCAACAGGATCCAGCTTTAATTTTGGATTAACACATCCCCTCGTTGAGATTCTGTTTAATTTCCTCGGAAGGAAAGGAGTTTTGTTTTCTTTTAATCTCGTTTCAAAGCATTTGAACATTGGTACTTCAAATTGTGGATGATATAGCGACAATGTTTCAGTTCCTTTTATTATTCACTTTGACAAAATGGGTGTGACTCAGCCAAAACTATATTACTGTACCTAATTTGGTACACTAACTGGTCTAAGATTAAATTGGTGTTAAAGTAATAGTTGAACTACCAAGTATTTCGTGTTATTTAGGATGAAGATACGTTTGACAACTCCAACCATGATCCAAAGATAAAATGCAGTAAAAGATATCTTAGCTGAATGACTTGATGATTGCAATCAGTATATGTCGAAATTGTTCTTGTTAGTTATTGTTTTGTTTTAATATACATCACTCGTGACTCTGCTACGTTATGAGTCTTTTAATAACTAGTCCGATATTCTCCCAACCAAGGTATTAAATATCAAAGGTTTCGGAAATATTGGAGGTCCAAAAACACAGAAATATCAATGGAATATCTACAAAATGTTAATATCAGTAAAAATTGAATAAAAACAACGTAAATTGTTAGAAAAACATGGAAATTTTCAATAAAACTTTAGAAGATGTTCATTTAGTCAATTTTCTATTGTTTTGACACACAAAAATTGAAGAAAATACATTGTATGATGGTTTTTATGATTTAAATTGAGTATAGTGCGAGCTGACAAATGCAATGACTTAAAAAATGAATAATATGCAAGTAATAAAGGGGTTTATATACTATTATGTAGGTTAAGAATAACACATATGTAGAGTAACAAATTCACATATACATACAATAATAAATAAGAGGGATTTATATAGTATATGTATAAATTCAGTAATAAAAAGGGTTTATATAGTAAAAAATATTAACAATATATGTAAATTTATTTATAAAAAAATATATATGATAATTTCTTCGATCGAGTAATTAAGTCCATATGCTTTTCTCTTTAAATCCAAAAAGTAGTATAAATATAGGGATACAAACTTGACAAGGGCATTACTGTAGCAGGGGTGGAGAGTAAAGAATTGTTGGCATTTTATGTGTGTATAAATAGCAATAAGCAAATGTCAAATATGTGTATAAATACAACAAGAAAGGAAGAATACAGCTCAGTTGGAAAAGGCGCCAGAATTGGCCAAAATATTCCCAGTCCAAAAATATGAAATTATCGGCGATAGCCCAAATAGATGGTAAACTTGGCCAAACAAGCCGCATACAATACTTTTATGGTGAATTCAACCGTAAAAGTTGCCTTAAATAATCCAATTATATTTCCTTTAGCCATGAACTTGAGAATCTTCATAGCTAGCAAGTACTTTTATCGGACACATTATATTTGCCCCTAATGTTTTACCAAGATATTCATCACTTGCGATTCAATTTGGTTTTCTCCAATATCCCATTTTTCTACCCCTCAAATAGCCATTAAACACATGACATGTATTTTCTCCCTCCGAACTTATCAAATTCTCACATTTTTCTCTTGACCTGTCAAGAAAACTCATTCTTAATTATCACGAACCACACCCATACTATGCAATTTGCCATTGAAAACGAATATTTTCATGCCAATCAAAATGGTCATGAGAGAAGAATGACAAATAAATTCACTCATTTTCCCTGCACATGATAATACATTCACTCATTTTACCTGCACATGATTCAATCTATAATCAATGCATTGCATGCCTAATTGTTGAAGTACATATTGATTTGATTAACAAAAGTAGTCTCGGGGTTAGCTTAAGTGCCCCCAAAAACTATGACCCAAATCTCAAAAAAAATTCTTTTTTCTTTTTTTCTTTTTGGTCCGATGACCCAAATCTCACAATCTCACATACGTATCTTTCCCATTCTCATTTTTATTTCCATTTCCCTTCCGTTCCCATTTCTCCATGATAAACACATAGACATGGCAACCAACACCTAAGCTGGTAAACGCACGCATACATGGCAACCACAAGTCTAAATCATTCATATCCAGCTAGCCCCAAGAGGGGAATGAAGGGCTTAATTCCAGATCTATTAAATAAACAGACTAATTTCAGAAACTCGTATTATCTCATTTCTATCAGACTCAAATCACCAATCTGTGAAAGAATAACGGGCTGCGGGTTACAAAATGGGGCCAATGGGTGCTTCAATTTTACAAGAATAATGGAAAATATAAGTGAATAAATAAAGAAAATGTACATCGTTCCCCCACCAACTGAACTATCACAATTCTTCTAATTTTACCTAGGACCGTCCTGTCGAAAATGGACATGGTCTTGACTTGGGCGTCACAGCAAACTCTCACCCACTTTTGCAGAAAATTGAAGTTCTATTGAGAATTATTGAGAAAGAATGGCTCATTTTTTCTCATTTTGACCATCACTGAAAGCCAAATCAAATATCTGATTGTAGTCATCTACAAAATGAACGTCAAGACCTTCTTTTACATTAGGGGCAAGCTCATCGAAATCCCTTTTGTTAGCTAAAGGGAATATGATGGTCTTCACATCGCTCCTCCTTGCAGCTATCGTTTTCTCCTTAACCTATATTGTAGACAAAAAATGTAATTTTTTTAAGTTTGAGATGAAACATGATGTACTCAAACACAAAGATAACGAGATATAGAAATAAAAACCAGGCAACAATCGAAACCTACAGGACTATGCATGTCAATTAGAAATCTTTTTTACAAGGCTTTCGTGAAGTCAAAATCACAAACACCGAAAATATGCAAACATGGAGCTTGAAAATTCATCGCAAGGAAACCAAAAGTACACCCTGAAGCATAACATCAGATGTACCGAAGTTTCCTAAATATAGAAAATAAAAGTAAATCGTGTAATTTAAGTCATAAGAAATATGTAACACTTCTATTAGCAATACATGGAAACATTCTCTTGCCAGACACTGGCTACATAAGATGCTTAGGTTTCCAGAGCATTTACATCGATTTTGCTTGAATGTGTGGTCTAGATGACAGTCTGACAACATATGCACTTCACGTTGTTAGACTGCCTCGCAAGAGAACATACCCTGGAAATATAGCCTGGCATATGCCATCAAATCAATACTTCATTGGCCACCTCTGATTTTTAGTTTGTTGGACAAGACTTTGTAATAGTCTGTTACTATATGTATACATATACATACAAATACATACTTACCTATCTACATATATATATATATATATATATATATAGAGAGAGAGAGAGAGAGAGAGAGAGTCGTTTAACATACCCCACCAATTGGAAGGATCCTCCCAGTTAATGTTACTTCCCCTGTCATTGCTAAATCCCTCTTGATAGGCTTCTTCATGGCAACGGACAACATGGATGTGATCATGGTGCAACCAGCACTAGGCCCATCCTTCGGCGTGGCCCCTGCAGGAACGTGGAGATGAAGCTTGGAATTGGAAAAGAAAGTGTGGTTATCTGGATCTTTATCGAGCAATATCGCTCTGGCAACAGTGTGAGCAATTTGGGCACTTTCTTTCATAACATCTCCAAGTTGACCAGTGACATGAAGGGCTCCTTTCCCCTCTGCTTCCTCAATCTGAGTGGTTTCTATATACAAGGTGGAGCCACCCATGGCAGTCCAAGCAAGACCCATAACAACTCCAATTGGAGTCTGATCATAGATGCGTTCAGCATGGAAGACAGGTTTGCCAACGAAATCAGCCAAGTTTGATGAGTCAACCAAAACTTTCTCAACTGTTTTTGTTGCTCCACCCTCCTGAATTTTCGCAGTTTCTTTTGCATCCTGTAAATATAGCTACAAAAAAAACTTAGTGGGTGAACACATAAATTCAGACATCAATACAGATGGCATGACAACATTGAAGGGAAAGTATGTCACGAGGAAAAATATAAGCACCAAAAAGGCAAATTTAACAAGCTTTAATATTATGTGGAACTTGCATATCATCCATGGTGTCTATATAGTTTCCTTTATACAAAAAAAAAAAAAGGGAAATATATTATTTTCCAAAAAAATGTGGCCAAAAATCATAAAAGTCTCTTCCTTCATTTGACATATGTAAAATGAACTAAAAGAATCTTTCTAAACTCTCTCATCTTGGAGGTCCATAAAGAATGTTAATTACCTCTCAATAAATACCTAGCTGCATAGTAAGTTTACAAAAGAGAAACAAAAGAGAATTATATCAACTGCATTCACGAAATTTCTGATGCAGAGTAAATTACCCAGACTTTATAGCTTGTTACATACCTTTGAATCCACAGGTTCATCAGTATCTGCAACCTGAACTTCAACAACTGCAGGTTCATCAGGGAGATCCATCTGAATAGTGACTTCTTCTGCAGAGGTTTCAGAACTATGATCATGATCATTGCCGTCCAATGATTCAGCTGCAGTCTGGTTCTTGCTAGAAACCACGTTTTGATCTAACTTATCAACATCTTCTACTTGGGCTTCATCAGTATCTACAAGCTGAACTTCAACAGCTGCAGGCCTACCTGGGAGAGATTGTATTTGATCAGCAACTGCTGCTTCATCTGATGCTCCTTGTCTAACAAGTTGCAGAGCTATCTGCCACAGCATAAAACGTAGGTTAAAGCATATTACTGTTCAAGGACCCATATCATTGTTTAACAAGGTCGTAAATTTTTACTGCATTTCAGAAGTACCTCCTTGGACCTAAGAAAACCATGGGGAAACTTTTAAATCATGTGGATAAAATGTTTTCAAGTTTGTGATGATGATCTAGATTTAGATATTTTTACAAACCTTGCGGTAGATCTTCTCTATGTGCTTTTGGAGGTTCCTAACACCTGCTTCTCGGCAATAATTTTCAATGAGAGCGAGAAGAGCTGCATCGGTCACTTCAACCTGAAAAGATAGTAATTTTAACACACTAAAGCTAACTAAAATATAGCATACAAACAAGCGTGCATGTCCACACACCTACACACACAGACAGATACCAGTACCTGTTCAGGTTTAATTCCACAAGCTTCACGTGTGGTCTTCTCCAAATAGTCCCTAGCAATGTG